ATCCCTCTGTATAGGTAATCATAAACAAATAAAGTGAAAGATAAAAAAAATTTAAAAAGATAAAATTACAAAAAACATCATATGGTTAAAAAAAAATCTATTTACAATACTGTTACAAAAATAGTTGTTAAAAGCTTAATTTCTTCTTTAATGTATATTCTCCTACGAATAGCATAACATAATGTTTTGGAACAACATGGGACCTATTGGTTCATCTCAGCTGTTCCATACTCTAAACTAAATTAAAATAATTTTTAAAAAAATCTTAAAGCCAGGCCTTATCATTCATATACTTATCAAGCTTTCTCCTAAACATAATTAAATTTACTGACTCTAAAACATCTGAAGGTAACCCATTCCAAAGGCCAACCACCTTGTTAGAAAAATTAAACTGTCTTAACTGAAGTTGACTCCTATCTTGCCAAAATATATACTTGTGTCCCCTAGTCCTACTATTCTCACTGTTAAATACGAAAAAAAAGATGATGCATCAACACTATCAATTCCTTTTACAATCTTAAACACCTTAATTAGATCCCCCCCAACTCTTATTTTTTCAAGAAAAACAATTTGAGAGATTTCAGCCTCTCCTCGTATAACAACCTCTCTATCCAAGGCACCATTCTAGTAACCCTTTCCAACAATTCAATGTCTTTCCTAAGGTAAGGAGCCTAAAACTGAATACAATATTCCAAATGTGGCCTAACCAGTGACCTATACAATGAAATTATAATCTTTTTAGACTTGTATTCAATATTTCTATAGATACAACCTAAAATCCTATTTACCCTACCACTAGCAACAGGACATTGCTTGGATGGCTTTAGAGACTGATTGACTATTACATCAAGATCCCTTTCCTTCATAACACTGTTAAGGTTATTCCCATACAAATTATAATTATAATTCAAATTATGATAACCCACATGCATTATCTTGCATTTATTATAATTAAAACCCATCTGTCATTTATTTGCCCAACTCACTAAATGATCTAAATTCTTCTGTAAATCAGCAGCATCCTCTTCACGGCTAGCAACACCTTAATATCATCTGCAAATTTAAGTAATTTATTGACTATACCTTCATCTATGTCATTGATATAAATCAAAAGGGGAAAAGATGCTAAGACTGAGCACTGAGGTACCCCACTTGTGACATTAATCCAGTTTGATTGAACTTCATT